GGACTACACGGAATATGATCAGGAAAACAAAATATTTTCCTACGTAGGTCACAATGATGATCTGTGTTCTGACCTGAATTGTTAAACTACAGAACTGAGTTAGGAAGTAGCCTTTTCTTTTAATCGTGAATAGTAGACTAATTCCTTTTGGGCACGCATGACTATTTGTGCTAATCTACATAAAATGGGAAAGCTCCTATCAAAGTCAGGGTAGAATCAAAGATTTCTCTGACCTATTAATAAACTGAACAGTAAAATACAAAACAAAATCCGTTTACTTTTGTTTTCGATGGTCTCAAAACTCTAGCTTGCCAGGGTATAATGTCAAAGTAAAGCTCTTCCAAGTTATAGTTTTTATATATTATTCAACAATTTAAAACTGCACTGAAGATTTTTATTGCTTTAAATAGGCTTCCAAATGTGCAGATTGTTTGCATGAATTTTTTTATATGATTGAGAGTTTCAGTGCAGGCAATACATTAGCCTTCTGTGGTAAAACCCAAACTCTGAGAAATAATGTGATCAGAATGCTTTTGGCAGAGTCCCTCCTACCTAAAAAGTCTTGTTGATAGGTACTCTGTGAAGATATGAAATACTTTTTCTCTATCGCCCAAATATCAGCATTAATAATTTCTCCTTTTAAAATGATGCTGAAAAGAGTGACAACAAAAATGAAAGTGTTTATATCCTGTGATAGTTGTAGGTTTGGGGACTTTAAATGCCAACTCTAGAAAGTGGATAAATGGAAGATATCAAGTAGAAACAAGAAAATAAAATGATGGGAACCATTCTGTAAAAGAAATATCTCTTTATTTATAACATCTGGCAATAACTCTTTTGAAGTGATTGTTAGGTTATGTGATTGTTATGTGATTGTTAGAAATGTGCCCTAAATTGCTTAGCTGAACACAGACAAAGAAATCTTTTGTGATGATGGAAATGTTCTATTTTGCACTGTCCAATAGGGAAGTCACTAGTTACACGTGGCTCTTGAGCACCTAAGGTGAAAAGGTGGCTGATGAGATGGAGAAAATGAATTTTAAATTTTATTTAACTTTAATTTACATTTAAATCCCCACCCACGGCTACCGGCTACCCCGCTGGACCACATAAATCTATGGGAAGATGACGATGTTACTTGGCTTCTTGGTTTACCTGGGCAAGACACTGGATAAAAAGGTCAAAAGACAAGAGATCATATAAAGAGTTTTCTTGTTCTTTATCTATCTAGCACAAGGTCTGTAAGAATGTAAAATAAGAAAAACTGTAGTCAAGTAGAGCATGGCTTAATCTGTGCAGGTGACACACAAAGCATACACAGAATGCGAACTTCTAATGTAAAGGTATCATTAGCCAGTGGAGAATCCAGCTCTCGTCAAGACCTTTCCCAATGACCAGAACAGCCATCAAGCCCAAATGGCCACTGTTTTATGATCGTACGTACATATACCGCATGAATATAACGTACACGAATATACGAGCTAAGTGAACATACCGTATTTACTCAAAGATCTGACTGGTTCTCTTTCCAGGGAACTTAATGCTCTCTGGCTACAGCGTGCCAATTGATCAGTTTATTCTTTCCATCCCATTTGTGGCAGGCATTCTCTATTGGCTGACCCGACCCCAATTGTTAGCCACTAGAGGTGGCTGTGTTGCACAGTTTGGGTGTGAAATTTCCTGGGAATCCCACTGCTTTCCTGATACAAGCACCGCCCTGTGTCCTTTTACTTCCTGGTGGAATGTATATGTTCCAAGGGAGATGCCAAGAAGAACATGGAAACTTCAAGGCTGACATTGCTGAGCCACTGAGCCAATGTCAGTCATCTGCCTACCTCTGAACCGCTCAATAAATGAGACAAATAAACCTGTTAGGTAAGCTACTGAACTTGAGTTTTCTGTTATTTGAAATTGAAAGCAATCTTAATGGATACATTTTTCTTCTGTGTTGAGTTATTGGCACACCAGAACACTTGTAGTTGTTTTTCATTTGTTCATTTACCTATTTAATGAAAAATGTGTTGGGGATAGTGAATACGCGCAAAGCTATGTGCAAGGTGATACAGTGGACAAGCGGCCAATGTGAATATCCTCACAGAGCCAACATTCTCATAAGAGACAAAGACCAGCAAACACTTAAGTAGTGAGGTAAGCATGATAATAGGGGGCCTATGATAGGAGGCCTAAAGAGTATGCACTTTGAGGTTGGTAGTTAGAAAAGTCTTCCTGAAGGAATTGTTATTTAATATTATATATATGTGTGTGTGTGTGTGTGTGTGTGTGTGTAAATGTGTTTCAGGTCAGGAGTCAGTAGAGAAGACAGAACACAGGATGAGGAAGTGGAAGGAGCTCAGTGTTACTTAATTACATGTGGGGAGCGCTGGGAGGGAAGATTGAGGAAGAGCAGAAAATTAGGCTGGAGTTTTAAGGAAACGCTGAATCACACAAGACCTTGAAATCATTTAAAGAAGTATGGACTATCTTCAAATAATAATGGATAGGCCACTAGAGGCTTTAAAAGTGGGAGGAGGGTGAGCTACATAAATATAGTGTATTTAGAAAGATCATCCTGCATTTTATGCAGAGAATGGATAGGAACTAGGAAGACTAGAAGGAGGGATACCCGTTAGGCGAATGACGTAGTCACTGAGGCCAAATGTGACAGTTGAGGAGGAGGGATAAAGAGATGTGGCTGGATTTGAAAGCTATTTCAGCAGTAAATAGCTTTGTGGTAGCTCAGCTATTGGGGTTGTAAAAGGAAGAGTCAAGCATGGGTTTTCATTTGGCAACTGAATGGGTTATGGTAATGTTCACTGGAGAGGGATCATAGGAAGAAAAGTAGGTCACATTTGGAGAAAGGTTGGAAGAGGGCAAAAATGAGTTCAGCCTTGGGCCCATTCAGTTTGAAGTTCCGGAGGGACATTCAAATGGAAATAAGTCACTAGGATATGGAGGTCAGAAAGTCAAAAGATCATTGTCAGCTGCAAATGATATAAAAGGATAGTCATCAATGGACTGAAACTACACAAGTGGATGAATTTTCAGAGAACATGTGAGAATGGCACAGGGAAGAACTTTAGAAGCTTCAGTAAAATTAATTTGGCAAAGTTCAGATTGTGTATCGGCCAGTGGAAAATGTAATTTGGCCGCTAACCTTCTGTTTTGACTTTACGCATTGGAGAAATAAGCATATACCTTCCTTAGGTGGTAGATTTTTAGGGACCTAGTTGAAAAATATAAACTGGAAGCCCCCCTCTGAAGAATCCAAAGACCTTACGAAAGTGATAAAGAACAGAGAGAGCTACTTGGACGTTAGAGAAGCATGGGAACGTGGAGACAGGGGACTTCCAGAAAGAGTGACACAGATGGGATACACCTCCCTTGAAGCTCAAGTTTTGGACCACAAACAAGCTTTCTTTTTGGCCCCTTCTTAGCTTACACTCCCTGAACTCATCATATTAATTCCTGATGTTATTTTGCTTCCCCAAAGAGGCTACTCTTGGAGAAGCAGGCATTTCCCATTGAGATCTAACTTCTGAGTCTCTGATACCATTTGATCACATATAAATAAGCCTTCCTAAGCCTAATCTGCCTTATTTAACTCAACAGATACCGGATCTGTATTTAAAACACAAAGTTCAAACCCTGCCACTGAGAGGCGGCAGTAACTTTAAGAATTTTTTCGAATTATCACTTCTGTATTCAAGCTCACCCTCTCTCCACCAGGGTCCTTTAGATAGGGCCCCAAATAGAACTCCCAACTTCAGATTGAAACTTCTTTTCCATGGTCATCTATCTGAACACCAACTGTCTGGAATTCAAGATGGCCTTAGGACCACCAGCATGAATCCAGTTTCTCAGGAGATTTCACTCTTTAATTCCTGATTCGATTTCAAGATTTACTTGCTTTCACAATTTCCATATATCAGTAGCTCATGGGTCCTAAGAGATTCTGCTCTTAGTTCAAAATCTGTTGGGGTTTTTTTTTTTTTTTTTCCCTCTTGATGGTGGCCTTATCTTCTTCATAAAGGCCACCAAATTGACTTCGTCAGTAATTCATGTCATCTTCTGGGACTTATTTACCTTTCACTGTGGTGTTCCTAATCATTGTATAAGTACTCTTTTTGCCCCTGTTTTCTGACACAGCTAAAAATGAGGACCCAATAATCTTTAACTTTCCATAGCATGAACAAGGTAACTTTATATTATGCAAAGGGAGTCATCATTCAACAAATATTTACCAGCTCCCCACTGTATCACTTGGTTCAGGACCTCAGGATGTGTCAAGTAAGAAAGATAGTCTCTGTCCTCAGGGAGTTTAGACTAATATGAAGTACAGACGTTAAACAACTAGTGATATAATTCATGTTTTTATTTAAAATTAGGATAAATGCTATTAAAAGAAAAGCACAAGGGGTTAAGAGAGTGGACAATAAAGACACAGAACCTAGTTTGAGGGGGTAGTGTCTCTAAGAGCTGTTAATTTTCACTGACATAGAATGGGAAATGAAGTTATGAGTCATGTTACACTACATGAATTTTCCCATTGCATATGTGGAGTGAGATACAAAGATGGCACCATGGACAACTATAATTCCATCAAGAAACCCAAAGTGACTTCCTTGTCAGATTAAGAATGGGGCAACATGTGCCACTGTGGAATGGAATGATATTTCTTTGGGTAGACTTCTCAAAACACATTGATAAATGGTTCTTCTAGCTAAACATCCATATTTTGTGTTTGTCTAAACTCTTAGTTATTTCACTACCTTTGCAACGGTAGGCAAATCATTTAATTTCACCAGTCTTCATGTCCCTCGTCTTTAAAATTCTAGAGGTATTAGGCAAGACTGTGAATTTAGTTGGCAACTGTCACCTTGGAGCCTCCGGAGCCCCAGTTTAGCAGGAGTAGGAAAACAAAATACGCAATGGCCACCCATTGTCACCACCGCATCCATCACTATAGTCAACGATAGGTTTAGAAATAATGTAGTTCCTACCTTTTATGAATGCTTGCCCAAGAGGCATTGATGTTCTCTGTTATCATGTGTACTTTTCTCGTATCATCTGAAGAATAATCCCGGAGAAGTTTCAGGGCCAAATCATTTGCAACATCTACATTTATCTGCCACTGGCGGAGGTCTTTGGCCAACTGCTATGGATACATATGGGAAAGAAAAGGAATGTCAGTTTTCTCTGAGATTTTGAGTTGCAGTTTCTCAAAATTTTTCATAAATAGCGTTTGAGTTTGCAGGTCAGAACTTGTCCGCATGTTCACTTTGTACCTACCATGTGATTTAGTCAATCGTGACGGCATAATCCAACCCACTTTTCATGACAAAACTTTTCAAATGCGGCATGTTGAGCAATCCTCAGTGTCCGGTATTTCAATTCAGTAGCAATTGATTGGGGATCAACTGGGCTTAATTGTTTTTCTCATGGGAGAGAACTATAAAAATAAGCTCTCATAGAGTTGTTGACTACGGGGCATATACCAAAATTTGAACGGAAAACAAAGCTCATGTATTTCCTTCCCTCTTCATTAACTTGTTGAATTGTTTATGTAATTAGTGCCATCTACTGGCATTCAACTACAGCTGCATATAGAAAATATTAAACATCAAAAGAATAGCACTGCATACTACTTATGAACTTTTTTGAAGGCCAAGTTTATTCATAATACTTTAATAAATATCCTACTTTAAAATTAGAGCACAATTTCAAACATAAGAATCTCGCTAAACCAAATGACCTGATTTTTTGTTTCTGTTTGACAACTGAGTATTATCAAGCTATGTATTACATCACTTAAAATACCGCACAGAAAATAAATAAGGCAATGACAGGTTTATCTAGAAGCATATTAACGACTGCTCTAAGTGCATGGAGGAGGCTTCTAAGCATTAAGGTAATATTCAATTACTAAGATAGTTATATCAAATCCAACGTGGTAAGTAAAGCCATTGATAAACAGGCAAAGGATCATGAAAAAGACATTCAAGCAAGAGAAAGAATAAAAGATTTATATTTTTAAAATTAAATTAAAAAGCTAAAAAAATAGGGGCGCCTGGGTGGCTCAGTCGGTTGAGTGACTTAGGCTCAGGTCATGATCTCGCGGTTCATGAGTTCAAGCCCCGCGTCGGGCTCTGCGCTGACAGCTCGGAGCCTGGAGCCTGCTTGGGATTCTGTGTCTCCCTCTCTCTCTGCCCCTCCCCTGCTCATGCTCTGTCTCTCTTTCTCTCAAAAATAAACAAATGAAAAAAATAGAGTATTAAATCAAGATGATACAATTTGACATCAGTTAAGTTAATAAAAAAATAAAACCCAAAGCTGGAAGCACTATGGTAAAACTAGCATATCCATGTACTACTGCTGGGAACAAATATCTATCAGGACAATCTGGCGATTGATATCAAATGACCTATACATGCTTACTCCCATTGACCTCGTAATTGTGCTTTTGGTATTTTCTCCAAATAAAATATTTAAAAGAAGAGAAATACATTATAGGAATAAAGAGCATCATTAACTATTATAGCATAAAAATGAGGAAATTTCAATTTTTAATGAGAGGACATTAGAATCACACAATATATCAACCCAATGTTCTAGTGTGCCAAAATCATAAGTAACAAACAAGACACAATTTCTATCTGTATTGTATTTCGTAAATCTCTAAGTCATGAACTAGGAGGGGAGCAGAGGAAACTGAAATTAACTGATGTTTCTGAAGAGCAGTCATTTTTGTTCTAATATTTGTTCTTTCATGTTGGTATGATATTTACATAATAAAAATCAAACAGTAGTAATTTTGGCAGAGTTTCAGTATATTTGGGTGGGCTCCCCTTCCTCGCAAAGGTATAATGTACATATAATCTGGTATTTCTCAGTTAACTAGAATAGCCTATTCTTTATTTTAATGTTTCTTTATTTTGAGAGAGAGAGCAAGGGAGGGGCTGAGAAAGAGGGAGAGAGAGAGAATCCCAAGCAGGCTCTGTGCTGTCAGTGCAGAGCCTGACAGGGGGCTCGATCTCACAAACTGTGAAATCACGACCCGAGCCGAAATGCAGAGTCAGGTGCTTAACCGACTGAGCCACCCAAGAGTCCCTAGAACATCCCATTCTTGAATCAAATGACATAATTTCATTTATTTCAGGTAACAAATAGAACCAAAAAACAAAATGAGTAGCAAGCATCTAAAGCCAACGTTACTAACTTTCGCTATGAAAGGAAAAAGGGAGAGAGTTTTTAAAGGCACACAGGTCCTAAGGTATAAGATTACCTTTCTGTCCCTTCTCCTCCTTACTTAAGCCAAGCCTTCAGTGTTAAAGTAATGTGTACTGTAAGCAGCCCTTTTTATCCATAAGGTGGCATTTGAATTTCGAAAAAGAGCTTAGTATCTATTATTTATTAAACCCCTAATTGGTAGCATAAGAATTCACAAAACTGAAACCAATAACTTGGTCACCTTTTTCCAAGTTAATTCCTTTTAACGAATACCTTTCTCTGTTAGAGAAATACGATCAGCCAACATCAGAGCATATGTGTATACATTTAGGAATAAAAAATATAAATTAAAATTTTAATAAATGTAAGTAATATCATTTATTTTACCGAAGAAAGACAAATAATTTTGGAAGCCACCTCTCACTCATGGGCTGCTACTTGAAAAGTCTAGATTAAAAAGGATATACACTTTTTGGTCTTAATCTATAGATCATAAAAACTGCCTAGAAGTTTAAGTTAAAAGGTATGCTAGCATTTTCCAAACTCTTGAAGGAAATATACAGTTCAAGTTACAGACTTCATAGTCAAGAGGTAAAAGAGTGAGGCTTGATTTCAAAACAGAGCTTTTTGATAAACTTTAATTCTTGAAAGACAAAAAAGCACAAGCCACATACTTTTCTTCAAATTTGTAGTCACCATGATATTCAGATTTTCATACAGAAGGAAAGCCCTCACCCTCACTGAATGCTGCCCAGGTTTTGAGAGGATGTAGGATTAAAAAAGAAAATCCCACTGACCTTGAGTAACATTGACAGGGCAAAGGCCCTTATCTAAACCCTAAGGTTCTCAACTTCAGCCTTCTTGTCTCCCTTCTTACAGCATTCACCGGAACACAATGCTTCCCTTCCTCCTAGGGTCATATGTTGACCGATCTGGGCTTTAACCAAGTGTCCTTCAAGCTAGGAACAATGACCTTGACCAGTTTTGCCTACTACCGTGAAATTTACTACTGGGATAACTCCAGACCACACAAGGAGTGTAAATTCAAAAACACAATAGAATTCACACACACGTCTTCTTATTTCTGAATTCCATTTGCAATGGTATACCCTACGGGGAATTGTTTGTATGGTGATCACAGTGTGTGAAGAAATTTGAAATACTGTGAACACTAGCCTATGAAAAAAGATGATTTTTGTGGGTCCATATATATATATATATATATATATATATGTGCGTGTGTGTTTTCTGTGAAGAATATAAAAGGCTACATTCCCAAAAGATTGTGTCCCCAACCAGGGAAGAAATATTTCATATTCAAAGCCAATATGGTGTTGCTGTAACACGTGCTTGGTATTTTATGTGCTGTATTTTAGGCAGGAAAATGATTGTAAACCATGGGACAACCGGAGTTAATTTCAAGAATTTTGAGTATTAAAACTTTCTAATTTTAATATTTGTCTTCCCTTATTTTCTGTTCGTAAGAATTCTTTTCAGGGTATTGACCCTACGCTGGAGAAAACAACAGAGGAAGAGAGAGAGCAGTGACAAGTTTGGGCCTGCTGGGTTTGAATCCTGGCTTGATCACTTCCTAGTTATGCGCCCAATGGGAAAGTGTATTATCCTCTCTGTGCCTCAGTTTCCTCCTTTTTGAAATGGGGAGAGTTAACAGTATTTACCTAGAAAGAGTATCATGAGGGTTAATTTAGAAAATGCAGGGAGAGCCTTCGGAATGGCGTCTGGCGTATCCAAAGCGCTAACTAAACATTAGCTAGAATAATCGTGCTGAGTGCTATCACTGTTACTACTGTTTCTATTGCTGCTGCTGCTGCTGCTGCTGCTACTCTCGTCCTACGAATTGTACTGTTCCCAATGAACCGCACTCTGTTGACCACAGGGCAAGCCTCTACCGAATGCAAAGTAAGAGCCTCGCTGTTTCACCGACATTGTCTATGATGCTATAGCTCTAAAACGCTCCCTTTAATTTAGAAGAGAAATGCAAATACATAGACCTATCATTAAAAAAATTAAGGGTGAGTAGTGTTTAAGTTCTCTTATAAAATGTCTTTGGGGATAGTCCCCTACAAATGAAATTAACATTTGTTCCAGGTGAGCTAGAGTTTAAAAATTTTAATGACTGACTCCAAGGAGCTTCACGAATGAAAGGCAACAGCAGAGTAATGAAAAGGCATCTTCCCAGGGAGTCTTATTTGGCCGTTGTTTGGCTGTTTGATCTTAAGAAAGTCATTAACCTTCTGAGTCCCAGTTTTGTTGTGTGTAAAATAGGATGGAGTGACTTATTCCGCCTATGCCTCAGGTTTGTCATGAGGCCAAACTCAAAATAAAACTGCTTGGAAAATTGTGAAATAGCATCCTGATATAGTTACGGAGAAAAAAGTGCTAATAGGCGGTTTCTCTTCTTTTGCCTAGGATACTGTGTTGGCATAGGTGAATGAAGAAATTCATTTGAAAAAATCGAGTTCTGTGATCTAACAGGGAAGAGCTGATTAGCTCTTAGATCCGTTCTCTGGCAATCTCCCACTCTACCCAGCGTTACAGATGAACCAAGCCCCTTATAAGGGGGACCAGGGTTTTTTCCAGGATTCCGTGCTAGTTGGATTCCAGGTGCGTTAGGACAGTGCGAGGCCTTGGTAGGACATGCAAGAACAGGAGGAAAGAAGGGTGAAACTAAAGTATATCTCCCCTTCTCTCTGTGTGGGCAGGGTCTTCTTCGTGACTCCATTTCCTAAGGGACAGCCCTTCTCCCTGTAGTGTCACTACCTGCCGTGCAGCCCCCACAGCGGTTGAGTTAGTACCGGATGGTTCTGGTTTCTGGACTTTGGTAACACTTGTTGGCCCTTCAGCCCTCGAGGTGGCAATAGCTTCCCGATACTGCCAACCTCCGGGACTGCGGTCCTCTGCTACTCC